CTGACTATCCACACTTGTAATGAATCACCTCTACAATGTCTAAAACCTCCTTTTAAGAACTTCTTCCAGATTGACTTGACAGAACCCTCATTTTCATTTCTGTGACTATTTATTAGATCTCTACCAATCTTAGTTTATTACCTTTCAATTTGTGCATTCATATGCTAGCATTAGGACTGGAATATATAGCAGAAACACCAAAATTTACAGTTTAAACAGGGTACTATCATACTTCAGACATATGAAAAAATTGAAGATAACCAGTCAAAGCAAAATGAAGGTTGTTACCACAGCTAAAGACCATTCTGTCTTATTCAGTTAGGCTTTCTATACCCAGAGACATCTCAATGTGGATATTAGGTTGTCAGCCATTACAACTTTTCCATATTTAGCATGCCTGCAACATACTCAACATGTAGGAAGACATGGCATAGACTATTCCCTTAAACAAACAAGCAAACCAAAACTTGCCCAGGACCTAAAATTTATTATAAATAACAAAGTAAGTTTGCTTAATATATACAGATCATTTTATATTTATACATACCACCTATACAAAATTATGTGACTATACCTAACCTTAAGAGAATCTGGGGCAATTTTTATTGTAACCATGTTTTTAACTAAAATTCAGGGAATTACTGAAGAAGAGTAAAATGGTCATTTGGTGACAAGCTAAAGCTTGTGCTACAGACCCCTGTGGATTACTGTGCATACAGCAGCTAGTTATCTTTTCAAAGTATAATTCAGATCAAATTATGGCTGTTTATAAAATCTCCTCAAAGACTCCCATTACATGTAAACTAAATCCACCAGCCATGTTCTTTTGAGGTCCAGTGGCATCTGATTATTTCTGTGATCAGATCCATAGGTCCACAGACTCCATTCCCATTACTTCAATAACAAGTAGTTCTTGTCTCAGGCACTAATGTCTAGAATTAGTCTCTGCATGACTGATTGCTTCATTCTTCCTAATTCTGTGAGGCTTTTCTAGTTTTTCTGTTTTATTTATCATCTTATTCTACTGTCACAGTTATTTAGAATATCTGATTTTTTTTCCATGTGTGTATGTGTACTTTTTTAGCTTCTCCTCACTAAAAAGAGGGGCCATGTTTATCACTACATATCTTCACTGCTTAGACTGGCCTGGCCCATAACAGCACTCCATACAAATTAGATGAATACATGAAGTGACTAAGCAGGGCATGGTACTGAAAGAGCTGTACTAACCGACAAACTCACAGTTCACTTAAAAAGTAGCATGTACACAGCCTGGCTTTTTATTTGAGTATGAATCAGTAAGGATATGAAAAGAACAGACTTTGTTTTTGATTTTATTCAGATACCAGACACTACTCTTGTTTATCAGCCTGGCTCAACGCATCTTTGCAATTAAACATGTTTCTTTCTTTCACTCCTGTTGTAAGCATCCAGGCAGTAAATGTAAGGGTTGTTAAATCTAACACAAGATGACAGAATGATGGCTTTTTACTTGATCAACCATATTCCAAAGCACAAAAGCCACCCAAACTTAAATCTCATATATTACTGGTGGAGAATGAAGATGGTTGGTAAACATATCACGACAGCCTATAGATGCTGATCTGATCATCCTGCAAGGCACATTTATAAGAAAGTGACTGCAGCAGAAGTGCTTTCTCCTTCCTGCACAACAGGACACAATGCTGTTAGTGAGTGCTGGGGAGAGCAGGTTTGTGGGCTACATCTTAATTAAAGGAGTTGACTTTCCACGTCCATAGAAACCATCATCAAGTTTTCATGTGATCAAAAATAATCACTATCATCTAGTGTTGTAATTTCTAATATATTACTCTATGCATATTTGGTCCAACCAACTTTAACCAGAATAGAACTAAGCTTTCTGATTAGTAAATGGTACTCTGTCATTTTGTAACAACTATGCCCACACGTTGAAAGGTGGGTGGTTTCCCACCACAATTACAGCTGTGCTCCTCTTAATGTTGTTCTGGGTTTCATTGTTAGAGTGCCTCTGAAGGGCTTCTGCCATTAAGGAAAGTTTACATCACCTTTTAAGAGCCTCCTTTCTAACTCAATCTTAACCTTAAAGCATCCCAGATGCTTTAAAACGTCAAAAATTATTCTGAAGAATACACAGGAAGATAATAGATTATGCTGAACAGGTAGAGCCTCTAAAATTTGAAATATTGTTTGAAAAATAGGTATGAAATTTAGTGTCTATCATTTTTTCATCATATTCCCAAAGGACTGTGTGCATATGCATAGGTAGCATTCAATTTTTAAGAAGGCTGTATTAAAAAGAAGCTTTACTATTAAAAAGGTATAGTGCCCCCTTTCCTGAATGAGGTTTAAGACTAAAGAACAGAAATAATACCCAATTCAGACAAGACTTAAATACAAGGGCTAAGGAACTGTTAAGCTTCATCTTGTCATAAACTTAACCTCAGATTATATATCTTTGAATAGCAATGGGTCTAACAGGATTTTTATGAAGCAAATGTGTAGTATTTGAGAAGAAACAACTGGTTCATAATCTTAATGGAAGATTTTCATAGGATTATAATGCCTAGCTACCATAGATAGAAACTTGACTCAAATTCTGTAATAGCCAAAGTGGTTAATAACAGAAGTGAAGTAGTCACTTTTCACTAATATTGGAAAGGCCCAATAGAATCACTCTTGTCTGAACTGCTGCAAAATAAAAAGAATGGTGGCATCTTTAAAAAGCAAAATTAGTGGCTGGCAAGATGTCTCAGTTGGTAAAAGCACTTGCTCCCAAGCCTGACAGTCTGGGTTCAATCTCCAAGACCAACCTGCCACAGGTTCTGATCTCACATGTATGCTGTTCTATGTGTATGCACACATTCATGCACACACCCAAATAAATTACTGTCATTTAACAGATCACTTTCTACTCATAACTTTACATTTTTCTGATATTTAACTGGAAACTGATCATTATATTCCAAAACAAGGATTTTAGAAAGTAGCATCTATAATTATACAACTGTCAGATGGCTACACAAGAGAAGCTCTTGGTGTGGATAAAATTCAGTTATAAGACAATTAAGGGATGCTTTTTCACACCTTGGGACACAAGTAAATAGTAGTACTGGAAAAGTGTAGTTGTCTTAAAGTATATTTTTAATATTATTATTTTATGTAGTAAATATATGCATTAAAAAGCAAATGATTCAATATATGCAGCAAAACCCAAGCCCCCCTTTTCCTTTCAGCGTCCAGATTGCCTGCTTAGGTTCAGATTTTGTTAACATTATTTTTTTTAATCTTTCCAAACCAAATTCTAATGCTTACAAAGCATAGTATAAAAGAATTTTAAAAAGCTTGCTTTTTCTCTAATAAGCTCACAACAGCACAATTATCTTGAGCTGTAAAAATACTTCTACCATGTAAAAATAGTTCAGGTTGAATAATATTTGTGGGAAGAAAAAAAAAAAGCCAGATACTACACTATTTTCACTGGAGCTCAGCCATCATCACAGAATCTTTTCTGAATAGGCGCAACAATTCGCGGTGGCCAGAGAGGGCAGTGTGTACCCACTGAAAAGCTCAGGCAGGAAAGCTGCAATTCCTTGAGTACCTATGGAGATTGCCCAATCCAGTTCAGTTTTGTCCAGTTCTGCAGGTAAAGCTGTGTAAAGGATCCAAGGGATTTCTTGAGGGAGGCTACTCAGATGGACTTGTCATTATGATGTTGGCAACACTAACACGGTGGGTTCACAATTGGAATGAAGAAAATACCCCTAAAGCAGCAGAAATCCAGTTATGCATGTGGTTCATTTATTATTAAAGAGTGAAACAAAATGTTAATTCCCAAAGAAATGGCTGCATTAATGAGGAGTTATAAGTAATTAGAGAATTTTGGATTTATTTTTATACACTAAAGGAATCACTAAGAATTTATGTGTTAACACAAATATTCACTGGCTAGAAGGTTATTGCTTATCTTGGCACAGTCTGAACATACAAGTATCAATACGTATAGCTAGCTCGGTAAGTACATATTTAAATTCAATGGTTGCAACGTCAATTACGAAATTATGAATATCTGCCCAATTACTAAGTTTGTCTAAAACGTCATTAGTTCAAGAACGATGAAAAGTAAAGTTCTATTGAACTTTCTAATAAAACAAGTGAAAATATGGTGGTAACACGGGCCAGGGAAACACCAACATCTGTAATTGTGCAAGTATTCAGGTTCAGTGTTAAAACTGCATGCCAATATTAACACTGTCTTAACGTCTCTCAATATAAGAGGAAGATTTTAGAAAAAGCAGTCAGCTATTCCATTTGCAATTAAATCATTAGAGGAAAAGGAAGTCAGCGAATGGCCGTGCTTTTCCCCGAGCTTTGTAAAAGGATCAATCCAGGATGAGTTCCGGAATAAACTTTGCCTTCAATGTAAACGATCTAGAAATATTTATTATCTGACATAACATCTCAGCCAAGAGGCGGCCAAGTGGCTTTCCGAGCTTTGTGCTGTCGGCCGGCCGCTGATGACCAGTTTCATCCTCCGCACAAGACTGGGCAGCAGATCCTGCGATCCCTCCCGGGAAGGCGGCGTGGGGTGTGCGGGTCGCGGGCAGGGCGGCCGCACGCAGCCCCGGATCCCGCAGTGGTGCCGCAGCCTCCCCGGCCGCAGCAGGTGGGACCCACCGGGGGCGCGGGCGGGCGGGCGTCGCGGGGCTTCTCGGAAGCCGCTCCACCGCGTCCGAGTTGGGGCTTTTGTGGTCTGTGCGGAATGACTTTCTGCGGTGGCGACCGGGGACCGCCGGCCTTCGCGCCACACACTTTGCGAAGCACGGCGTGCAATTCTCCGAGGCGCGAGCGCAGTCGCCGGCGTCCCCCGGCCTCCGCTCCCGCTAGAGCTAGCTCGCTCCAGCGGCGGGCAGGCGGCCTGGGCCAGACAAAGGGCGCGAAGGCGGCGGCGGCGGAGCGCGGCCTGGCCCGCAGGGGGCGCCGTCCGCGCCCGCGCTTACCTTTGAGGACCGCGCAGAGCTGCTCCAGGGCCATGTTCCTCAGTATCGGCTCTCCGAGAGCGCCCGAGGCGGCGGCAGCGGCGCGGCGGTCACGGCCCGGCAAGGTGGCTCCGCTCGGTCCCCATCGCCGGACGCCGCCGCCTCCCTGCAGCGGGAGCAGCGCCTGAGTCCGCCGTGCCGGGTCCCCGACGGCCGCCGCGTCCCGCCGCGCCGAGGAAAGCTGGCGGCGCCCGCTCCCGCGGCGGGATCCCTTCAACTGGCGCGCGCCGGGAGCCCCGGCTCATTTAAGCAGGGAGCGCAGCGCCGCGTGCCGGCCGCGCTGCCACTGCGCACGCGCAGCCCCGCCCGCCCGCGTGCCCCGCCCGCCACTCACCTCCCGGGCCTCGCGCGCGGCCGACCCTTCCCTGTCGCTGCCTCCTCGAGGTGTCCGGCCCCGGGGCTGTCTTTCCAGCCTCTCTCTGCGGACCCCAAGCCCTGGTGCTTGAAAACATCTGCTTAGCTTTGCTGACCTCGGTGGAGGGGAGCCCTCCGAGGGGGCCCTGAAGGTGCGGGGGTGGGGGTGGAATTCAGGGGACCAGCAGTGACGGTGGTGGCAGTTAGTGATAATTCTATAGCAGTTCTTGAACTGTACATAACCAGGCTGCCAGGCACCGTGCCCTTGTGGGATCATCACTTCCAGTCCTCACCACAGTGGGCTGGAAGCTCTACACCAGCTAGAGAAAGGAAACTTTTGTCCTAGCTTCAGTGAAGACCGGAGGCAAGACTGAATCCAGAGAGTGCCTCCCCCGCCCAGGCCACCCCTAACCATGTCCATACAGATGGACTGCTGAGCACCACTGGAAAAAAATTTCCACATACATGTGTTAACAGCTGTATAGTTTGGGTATTATCATGTTTTCCTCCAGGACTTGTGCTTTGAAATTGCCTCGGTGGCAGAGCTACCTCCAGTCCATTAAAAGAGAAACCACTTGAATGTAGGCGTGCTACAGTCATTACTTCACACATCACTTATTTATAGGTATGAGTTATGTGCATGTGTAACAGTGAGTGCTGTTGGGAAGACAACTAGTAGTAAGTCCCGCTGTAATAAATCTGACACGTAAATGTTTATCTAGCAAATTAGAATGTCTGGCAACTGAACAAAATATCCCAAGGGGGTCAAGTTCTTTCTTTTCTTGGATGTCTCTGAAAGGTACAAAAGTATAAGTAATTCACAAATTTATAAATAAAAACAATTAACACTAGGGACTAGGAGACAAGGAGGAAATAGGAAGTAGTAAGGAGCCAAGATGGAGAGTCTGGAGAAAGCAGTATGCCGCCGGCTCCCCGGTAAGAGAAATACATAGATCAGCAGAAATGGGTTAATAATTAAGGCAGAGCTAGCCGATAAGAAACAAGTAACCGGGCCAACAGCATTGTATCAAATACAGAGTCTCTGTGTGTTATTTGGGGCTGGCGGCGTGGCGGCGGGACAAGACCAGCGGCGGAGGGCGAAAAAACCATACTCCTTACAGATGTCTTCAGTGGTTATGAAAGATGTATGATTTGTGATTTCTAAAGTAATCACCTGCAGTTAAATTAAAATTACACCCAAGGACCAACCAATAAGGCATTTCAAAACCTTTTCCATAAGTGAAATAATGATTGATAAATGGGGACAGTAAGTACTGGCAACAGTGGATAAAGTAATTGAGAAGCCCTTTGAATTGCCTGACCAATAATGCATAGTTGTTTACTGAAGAAAAATATCAGCCTGTGTGGTCTTATCAGAGGATGCTCTATGAAAGAGTGAAAAAAAGAATGGAGAAGCTTTGGATGGCAAAAGAAGATGAGAGAGGTAGAAGAGATTGTCAGTTGTCAGGTAAGGAGCAAGTGTGAGCATTGAATTTAGGACATATCATTTTTTCTGGAACTAAAAATTGAAAATATGGTGGACTTTGAATGTGGAGATACAGCCACTTCTCAGTATCCAGGGAACGCCTGTCCCTTATCCGCACTGGCAGGTCAAGTCCTTCAGAGGGAACAGTGATCATATAAGCCTCTCTTAGGTTTTTAATCATTTCTAGATTAATTATCATACTGAGCACAATGTCGATGACATGTGAACAGTAATTATACTGTATTTGTTAGGGAATGATGATAGGGGAAAATCTGAACATATTCAGTACCGGCACTTAGAAAGATATGTTTGTTCCACTACTGGTTGAACCCTTGGATGCTGATGCCTCAGGATTTGGAGGGTTGACTGGACTTGCTTGAATGTTAAACAGCAGTTGTACTTTGATTTATAGGCCAGGGGAATCATTCTCATTAGTGGAGTCATGGAGTTCTGTGAAGATTAATCTGGTGGCTGAGTTGAGGGGGTAAAAGGAATAGATTAGAGAAACCATGGTAATTAAAAAAAGTAGGTGTCTTGTACTCATTTAGCTATGTAGCTTTTACTGATAGTATCATGTTGATAGAATTTAGAAAGACTTCTCCAGTCTGATGGCTTGGGAGTAGAGACTTCAGTTGAGAATGTTAATTTAGTGGTCCACCTTAAGATACCTCTCTTTTAGGTGTACCGTGGTAAAATTTTCAAGCATAGATCATAGCTAAGTCTACCATGTGGCCATATGTAAGCTAAATCAAAAGGAAAGCAGTCTGTCTTCTTTGTACCCAAATTATTATTTTCTGCAAAGATCACCGAGTAGCAGCCATTCTGTTCCCACATTACCTGACAGTTTGGGGGTGACTGAGGACTGCTTTTGTAGTATTCGACCAGCCTTTTAGGTGTATAGTCTCTGCCTATTCACACAGGATCATTCCTGTTCAGGTTTGGTTTTCTCTCACCAAGTCACTTATGACATTTTAATAGTGCTGTCTGTGCTGGGCATGGTGGTACACCTTTACCCAGCAGAGGCAGGTTGATTTCTATGAGTGTCAGGCCAGCCAAGGCTACATAGGCCATGCCTATTTAAAAAAAAAAGAGCCACATATCATTGACTTATTAATGAAATACATCATTAAAAAATCAGTAGGCATGATGGCACATGCCTGTAATCCCAGCACTTTGGAGGCTGGGGCAGGAGGATTGAGATGGAAGCAGCAGCATTTTATCTGAACGTTTCTATACTTAGAGGATTTTGTTGTTCCTTTTTGTGTAGTTTGTGAGCTCCAACAGTTTATTAAAAGATGGTCTATAAAGGTGAGTTGCTATGGTTAGAGACTGTTAGGGAACAGATGCTTTCACATTTCCTGAAACTTGTAAGTGAAAAGCCTGAGGAAGTGTGGATTGTATTTTGAGACAGGGCCTGGATAAATACTGAAGGTTGATTGAGGTTGTGTAAAGGCAGAGCTCTGAACTGATAAAACTAGTGTCCCTGTAAGAGCAAAGAAAGCTTGTTCTCATCACACCATCACCAAGGAAAGGTCATGTGAGGACAAGATAGTCATTTGCAAGCCAGAAAGAGAATCCTCGTAAGAAGCTGAATTGGCTGGTGCCTTGATGTGGGACTCCAGCCCCCACCTCTGAGAGAAAATACAGACCAATGTTTAAGCCACTTAGACTACAATATTCTGTGGAAGACCAAGCTGACTAATTCAGAAACATAGCTAAGGGAGACAAAAGGATTTATAACTTACCAAACTCTGATCCACAGAAAATCTTTTTTTTTAATTAAACAATAATATCTGTTTATAAAAATGCTCTCCAGTAGTATGCAAGTATGGCTACAGTAATGATGAAATTTAATGAAAAACTAAAATTATATAGGATCTTAGTGAGTGAAGATTTCACTGCGATATAGCTGTGGTGGGGACAATTTTAGGGGAGGAAAAGGGAAAATTATGAATGTTTTAAAATGTTTTGGGTAGAACCCCATACCATGGAATGTATATAAAGGTATTTAAATAATTAACCCAAAATTTTGAAACTACTTTGTTCTATAAAATTTATAACCTAGATATATTAGATAAAAAAGAGATCTTTGAGAAAAATTTGTGATCTGTGACTGGGGCTGTGACTATAGCTCAGTAGATAGAAGCATATTTGGGTTCAATGCCCCAAACTACAGCAGGCTGGGGAATGCAGTACAGTTGTTCCCTAGAATTCATCTCTTTAGAGGAGCTAGATAGAGATGTGAATTTGCAGAAAACCTTCAGCAGCCAGTGTTTACCAAGCCCTCTGAGAACCCAAGACTCGTTATCCATGTCAACAGCAGCATTTGACTCTTGTCAGCTAATAAGACTGTCAATCTTTTTGCACAATTTTTTTATTGTTATATACTTTTCTTTAAGAACCATTCTAGTCCAATTTCTATATGTTGGGTCCCAAATAATTGTATGCACTGAAAAATATTATCTTCATTTTGTGTCTTCATCCTTTTTATAAAGTGCTCGTGATGAACAGAGGTTGTTAGTGTATTCCAGTCTGTTAAATAGTGCCTTGCTGATTGGTGCTGTTCTTGTTTTGGTTGCTGCTGACTGAGCTAGCTGCCTGGCTGTGTAGCTCAGATGAGCCCTCAGCACTGGCTCCTCTGGCCCCAGTCTTCCACTCTTCCTGGGTGTTTGCTGCCTGTTTTGACTTTGAAGCCATATTCTCCAAGATCATGAAGTTACTCATATTAAGCTATAAATAATTAGCTGAGCTTGGTAATACCTACAAAAGATCAAGAGTTCAAAGCCAGCCTAGCTACTCAAGACTGTTTCAAAAACTAAACCAATTCAAAACAAAAAACCCAACCACAGCCACCCCTACCCCCAAAGACCCAGAACTTTATAAATTTACAAATCACACTTATTCTCAGTACTCTTGGTTTTGGTTTTTCTGAGAGTTAGTGGTAGTATTAATTTTTTGTCTTCATGTAACTTGTTTCATTTACTGTTAAAACTTTCTTCTTGATCTCTTTACCAGTGCAATGTTAACATGACATTTAAAATTTAGATTTACTATGCTTGAGAGGCCAAAAAGAGACTCTAACATGTAAGCCCTTACCTTATATAGGCTGTAATCCAGCCCCCACTTTCCCCCCCAGATATTGAAGAATATTTTTAAATAAGTTGAACTTGTGAAATTTGTTTCAGCAAGACAGTAGGTCATAAGACTGTTATTTTTGTTTTTGTAATCAAGCTTGTTTACTGTTTAAAAGATGACTAGGACAACTGTAAGACACGTATGTTAAAATTAGAGCCTGTCTGCATGTAGGCTTTATAAACCTTGGGCTGATGTGGCTAGGGGCTGCATCTTGGGAGTGCTCTTGGACATCAGCACTAAATAAAAAGCCTCTTTTTATTAACATT